GCCCCACACTGGGCTCCCTGCTCAGTGGGGAGTCTGCTTCTCCCTCTCCCTCTGCCCCTTCCCCCCAACTTTGTGTTCTCTCGTGTTCTCTCTCTCTCTCTCCCAAATAATACACAAAATCTTTAAAAAAAGAAAAGTTGAAAGACTAACATTAACATCCATTTGCACTTCACCTACACCCATCAAATGTTAACATTTGACCCCATTTGCTTTATTCCACACTACACATACTTTTTGTTTTCATTTTGCTGAGCCATTTGAAAGTAGCAGACTTTATGACACTTCAGCATGAATCTCCTACATAACCATAATACCATTATCATACCTAAGGATACTAACAGTAATTCCCTAACATCATCTCCAAACTTCCCAAATTTTCCCCCCAAATGTTGTACAGCTTTAGAGTTCACCACATCCCAATCCAATAAAGGTTCATTCATTGTGTCTAGTTGTTATGCTTCTTTTTTTTTTAAGATTTTATTTATTTATTTGACAGAAATCACAAGTAGGCAGAGAGGCAGGCAGAGAGAGAGGAGGAAGCAGGCTCCCTGCTGAGCAGAAAGCCCGATGTGGGGCTCGATCCCAGGACTGGGATCATGACCTGAGCCGAAGGCAGCGGCTTAACCCACTGAGCCACCCAGGCGCCCCTGTTATGCTTCTTTTAATCCACAATAGTCTCCCATCATTTTTGTCTGTTTTCCAGGACACTGTCTAAAGAGTCCTAGCCAGTTGTCTTGTCAAATGTCTTCTTGTTGGATCTGAGTCATCATTTCCTCGTAGTGTCATTCAACATTTCCCTAAATTTCCTTTCTTTCTGATAAACTAGAAGTGAAGTCTTAGCTTGATTAGATTCAAATTAAGTAATTTGGGGAAGAACTCTTCTTAGGTGATGTCGTGTATTTCTTACCGCATTGCAACAGGAGGAACATAATGTCAGGCTGTCCTGCCTGACATTATAGGAACATAATGTCAGGCTGTCCTGCCTTCAGTGATGAAGTTTGAGGAGAATTATCACCAAATCTCTGCTGCAAAGGTACATTTCCCCCTTGAATGAGAATGTACAAATATCCTATTTCTTAGCAACTTTTACCCCAGTAGTTTTAGCATCCACTGATAATCTTTACCTGAATTAATGATTACTACGGAGATTGGAAGATGGTGATTTCCAAAGTCTATCATTCCTTCTACATTTATTAGCTCACAGTATTCTGTAAAGAGCAAAAGATCTTTCCTTTATTTCCTCCTCCCCCCTTTTTATTATCACTATCGATGTATGGATTTCTGTTGTTAAATCAATTCCCTTCATTATTCTCTGTGATGCCTAAATTATCCCAAATTTGGCCAAGGGATCGGATTTAAGCCTGCTCCTGTGACCTTTTGGTATGACCTCCTTAGTTTTTGAGTACTTCCTATGGATATCTCTGGTTTTAAAAGTTAATTATATGATGTTTATTTGCTGAAATTCCCGTAACATCTGCCCATTGGTTTTAGTTCTATTTTTAAAAAATTTTTTTTAAAAATGTTATTTATTTATTTGACAAAGAGAGCAAGAGAGCCCAAATAGGCAGAGCAGCAGGCAGAGGGAGAGGGAGAAGCAGGCTCCCCGCTGAGCAAAGAGCCCAATGAGGGGCTCCATCCCAGGATCCTGGGACCATGACCTGAGCAGAAGGCAGACACTTAACCAACTGAGCCACCCAGGCGCCCCTACTTTTTTTTTAGTTCTACTTTTATTTCCTCCATGTGGAATGTTGTGTTACTTAAACAAAGGTATTGTATTTGGGGTTGGAGCGTTTCTATGAAACCACTCCACTAACATTGCATGAGCCCATAAATCATTAATTCACACCTACTCATATACCTATATCCCATGTCAAAACAGCTGTATCAAAGGAGCCAGGACATCTGTACTCTGGAAACTATAAAACACGGATGAAAGAAATTGAAGATGAAACAAACAAATGGAAAGATATGCCATGCTCCTGGATTATTAAAATGTCCATACTACTCAAAGCAATCTACAGATTTCATGTAGTCCCTATCAAAATACTAACAACATTTTTCACAGAACTAGAACAAATAATCTTAAAATTTGTATGAAACCACAAAAGACCTTGAGTAGCCAAAGCAATCTTGAAGAAGAAGAATAAAGCTGGAGGTATCTCAGTCTCAGATTTCAAGATACACTACAAAGCTGCAGCTAATCAAAACAGTATGGTACTGGCCCCAAAACAGACACATAGAGCAATAAAACAGAATATATTCCAGAAATGAACTCACACTAACAAAGTCCACTAATCTGTGACAGAGGAAGCAAGAATATACAATGGGGAAAAGACAGTCTCTTCAACAACGGGTGTCGGTAAAACTGGTCAGCCACCTGCGAAAGAATAAAACTGGACCACTGTCTTACACCACACACAAAAATAAATTCAAAATGGATAGAAGGTCTAAAGGTGAGACCTGAAACCATAAAAGTAGTAGAAGATATATGCTGTAATTTCCTTGACATTGGCCACAGAAACATTTTTTTAGGCATGTTTCCTCAGGCAAGAAAAAAGCAACGAAGTAAAAAGGCAACCTCTGAATGGGAGAAGAAATTTGCAAATGAATATCTGATAAGGGGTTAATATCCAAAATATATAAAGCTCTTATGCAACTCAGCAGCAAAAAACCAAATAATCCAATTAAAAATGACAGAGGACCCAAAGAGACATTTTCCCAAAGAAGACATACAGGTGGCCAACAGACACACGAAAAGATGCTCAATATCACTCATCATCAGGGAAATGCAAATTAAAACCACAATGAGATATCACCTCACACCTGTCAGAATGGCTAAAATCAAAAACAAGAAATAACAAAGTGCTGCTTAGGATGTGGAGAAAAAGGAACAAACCCTCATGCACTAATGGTAGGAAAGCAAATTGGTACAGCCACTGTGGAAAACCATATAGAGGGTCCTCAGAAAGTTAAAAGTACAAATACCCTACAACCAGTAATTGCAGTACTGGATATTTACCTGAAAAATACAGAAACACTAATTCAAAGGGATACTTGCATATCTATGTTTATAGCAGCATTATTTACAACAGGCATATTATGGAAGCAGCCCAAGTGTCCATCAATAGATGAATGGATAAATAAGATGTGGGGTGTGTGTGTGTGTGTGTGTGTGTGTGTGTGTGTGTGTGTGTGTAAAATGGAGTATTATTCAGCCATAGAAAAGAATGAAATCTTGCCATTGGCAACAACATGGATGGAGCTAAAGCGTATAATGCTAAGTGAAACAAGTCAGAGAAAGACACTGTAGTGAAATCACTAATTTGAAAAGATATATATACACCCCTATGTGCAATGCAGCATTATTTATAATACTCAAGTTATGGAAGCAAGCCATGTCCAGCTACAGATGAATGGATAAAGAAGGTGGGGTGCGTGCGTGTGTGTGTGTGTGTGTGTGTGTGTGTGTGTATATACGTACAATGGAATATTACTCAACCATAAAAAAAGAATGAAATCTTACCATTTGCAACATGGATGACACTAGACGGTATAATACTAAGTGAAATAAGTCAGCCAGAGAGAGACAACTACTATATGATATCACTCATATGTGACATTTAAGAAACAAAACAAAGAAAAAAAAGACAAAAAAGTCAGACACTTAAATACAGAAAACTGGTGGTTGCCAGAGAGGAGGTGTGTGGGGAGAGGGTTGAAATAGATGAAAGGGATTAAGAGTACACTTATCTTAATGAGCCCAGAGAAATGTATAGAATTGTTGAATCATTACATTGTATGCCTGAAACTAATATAACACTGTATGTTAATTATACTTCAATTTAAAAAAAGGAGCCAGGTCAAAATTTCCAGTATACTGGGTTAGAGCAAGTCCTTCATACTGCTGCAATAACCACAAAGGTATATGAAATACTGTATGAAGGCTGGGTCATACCCAGCATTAGTTATTAAAATGATCCCAACAAGCCCCCAATGTTTTCTCTTTTTTTCTTAAGACATATTTACTTATTTTAGAGAGAGAGAGCATGGGGGAGCAGAGGGAGAGAGAGAGAATTTCAGGCAGGCTCCCCAGTGAGCACAGAGCTGGACATGGGGCTCGATCTCACAACCCTGGGATCATGACCTGAGCCAAAATCAAGAGTCTGATGCTTAACTGACTGAGCCACCCAGGTGCCCCTCCTCCACCATTTTCATATAGGTTTTACAGTGATTATAATTCATACATAAAAAGCATGTAAATGCAGAGGTGCCACCTTTTTAGGGTACACTCAATCAGCATTGTGTATTACTCTATGTATTTGTTCAGGCCAGTAAAGAAAAGCCTGGTGAACCTTGAGCAAACAATGTCCCTGCTCTGACAGATAAACAGAACTTTATCCTCTAGAATCAGTAGACCTTCAAACACATACAGACAGATGTAACCCTTCCAGAGGGCACATGAATTCCAGTTCCTCTGTTTGCAGATGTATTTCCAGTATCTCAAATTTGTTGGTGGCATTTGCCCACTGGGGAAAACAATTCTAATTATGTGTGAGAAGTTAATCAATCACATTCAATACATAAAATAGTATACCATTTTATTTATATTTCTTATTTCCTTTCCAGTATGGTCAAAACCCACTGAAGGCAGAAAGAATCCTTATGAAGTGCTTTGTAACTCTGGGCAGGGAGAATGGAACACTCATTGTAGTATAATAATATAACAACAATAAAATAATAATTAAAATAACAAAAATACATAATAATCGAGTGTGACTTTTAAGTATTAAGATGACAAAATAGGAAAGAAACCCTAATGCCTAGTTATGTAGGAATTTTTGAATGATGTGAAATTTTGAAATTTTTGAATAGTAAAAGGAAAAAAACATAAAACAAGCAAGAAAGAGAAAGCAAGGTAAGAGAAATGTTAAAGGCAAGAGCAGATCAAATCACATGTCAAGAGGATAAACACACAAGTACACCAATCATCCAGAACGTACCTTTGTTCAGAAGAGGAAGGAAGTCAGGTGCTTTTTCCCCAAAAACCCTTTGAGCATCCTCGGCTTTCATTGATACTTCCTTTGTCTGAACTAGGAAAAAGCCTTTACCGACCATCTGTGGAAAATAAAATTTCATTTAGAGTTTAAAATGAACTTCTAAGATTAAAACAGTATTTTTCTATTCTAGTATTTTTCTGTATACAATGAGATGCAGCATGTTGATTTTTGTTTGAATCATCCCTCTAATTCAAGGCTTTTGCTCTGATAAGTTTTCACATACACAAGATTTTTCCAGAAGGGTGGTTCTGGGTAAGAATTAGTGTGCACTGCCTAATTTGTTCGTCCAATGAGAAGAGAAGGGTTAAGGAGGTAAACTAGGGGACATTTATCACATGACGAAATAGCACAGTTCATTAAACATAACAAATAATACAATGGGGAAAAGCTTACATAATAATTTTGAAAAGCATGATACAAATATATATAGTATAGCCCAATAGTGATAGTCCATATTTATGAAGCCCTGCTGTGCGCCATGCAGTTTTATGCTCTTAACGTGGATAGCGCATTTAACACTCTCATGAGGTAGGTACTATTATTACCCTCATTTTACAGGTGAGAAAATGAAGGCACAGAGTGGTAAAGAAACTTAGTCAAGGTCAGACAACTATCAAGTAACAGAACTGTGATTGGAACCCAGTTAATCTGATAATAGACGAAATAAATGAAAGAGTATTCCTAAAAAGACTATTCAAGATATACTATGTTATGGAGGATTTTTTTTTGTTATGGATGATTTTTAAACACTTCTATTCTTTATTTCTACAATTCTGTATAATAAGTATACATTAATTTTTAAAATAATGATGAAAGTAGTTTTTAAAAATGCGAAGTATTCAACCACTTGATTTTTTTTTAGCACAGCCTATTGGATTTTTAAGTATAACCATGACAGACTATGGACTTTGGGAGACAAACTGAGGGTTTTAGAGGGGAGGGGGGGGGGGGGGGGGGGGGGGGGAATGGGTGAGCCCGGTGATTGGTATTAAGGAGGGCACGGTTTGCATGGAGCGCTGGGTGTTCCGTGCAAACAATGCATCAGGGAACACGACATCAAAAACTAATGATGGACTGTATGGTGACTAACATAACACAATAAAAAATAAATGAATAAAAGTAACAAACATATAGGCTCAACACAGAGCGCCTGGAAAATGAAAAAATAGAAACAAATATGAACCAAGGTGCTACCACTCAAAGGTGCACTGCCATTTGGTTATATGTCCTTTTACCCTCCCAGTTTTCTTTCTCTCCCACTACAGAAATAACAAATGTTCATTGTAAAATCCATATAACCACAAAAAGAAAAGAAAATCCTGCTCTTAATCCAACTCCTAAGAATAACCACAACTGCTAACACTTTAGTATATATATCTTTCCAGACTTAGATGTCTTAAAAAAAATTCGGATACTTATATAATATTCTACAAATTTTCACTTACTTGACTGTGAATATTTCCCAGTTATTCCACTATAAAATTAGTTTTAATGGCTGATAGTATTTCATCCAATCAGCTACATTATCCCATACCATTCCTTCAAATTGGATTCAAATTCAAATCCTTTCTCAGAGGCCTCGGTGCTGCCTCAGCAAAAAGAAACATACATACAAAGGTAGCAGAAAACTGCATGGACATCCACTGCCAGGTGATGACTACAAAGTTACTTAAAATATCAGAAATAATCCTTTACCTGTTTCTAATTTTCTAGATGGCTCACTACCTCTGATTTTACAGTCAGATTTTATAGTCAGTTTATGTGTTTATCTTTTGTCAGTTTATGTGTAAACTGACATAAGATGATAAGCTGACATAAACTGACATAAGATACATGACTGACATAAGATAAACTGACAAAAGATGATTAATTCAGAATACTGTTACCTAAAAACAAATACTGAATTACAAAACTTGATCGATTTTGATATCTCACTGCAGCTATCTGGAGACTCCTTTTTCATGGAAATTCTTCTACTTCTAAAGACTTGAAAATAGCGGTGACTACCCAACTTAAATTATGCAATACGTTACTTCCAACCAATTCAAACTACTTTTACTCTAATTTATCCTGTGCATATCTGTGATGTAGCTAAGAGGAAGCAAGAAATCTGATTTTCAGGAGAGAAAACTGAGGCCCAGTAACTTCTCTTGATTCCCTTTGGACTGTGTTTTCTGCTTTATCCAGCTTTTCCGGACTTCCTACCTCAAAAAACTATTATGATATATTTAATTTATAAAAACAATGGGAAACAAAATTCTGTGATACTCCTAGGGTTTAACAAAACCAGAGTCAGCAATCACAGTTCCAGTCGAAGCTGTCTTAAGGTATTCAGGTTGTGATATGAGAAAGACTCGAGTTTTGGGTGGGTTTTTCTTTCTTTCTTTTTTTTTTTCACTTCAGTATTAAGTAGCTCCTATGCATCTTTTCCTGGGAACGTGAGCTTCATTTTTTTTGAAAACACAGGTCAGCTCTCCTTTAATATGTGTGTAAGTGAGTGATCTTTTAGCATGTTTTGATACCCTCTTCATGTGCACTTGCATTTTCTTCTTTTTGTTCTCTGCCATTCCTTAATTCTGTGCTTTCAGAATTAGGCAGGCTAACTCCAACCAAAAAGGCCCAAGGTTTTCCCTTCTAGGCCAAAGGGTGGTATCTGCCTTGACTCCCCACACTTTCGGTCACACTCCTGCTCCCCCAGGCCCTCGTCAACCTTCCTTTCCCACTGAGGCAGATTAGCATCATGCTTAAGGGCTCAGACTGTGGTTTAAAGCCAGACTGCCTGGATTTAAATCAAGGCCCTGCTGTTAACGCTGAGTGACCTTTCGCAAGTTGATTACTCTCTCCGTGGCTCATTTTCCTCTGTAAAAAGGGGAATAAATGCGCCTACTGCATAGGTTCTTCTAAATTGAGTTACTTCATTTAAATCCCTTATAAGAATGCCTGGTACACAGTTAACACTACATAAGTGTTAGCTATTACTATTGCTGTCATTACATTTTTGTTTTAAAATATCTTGTAATCCGGAAGGACATCTAAAGACCATCATTCTTCCTGCTCACGTTGCTTTCAAGTGCACACAACACTGCCATTTCACGCATCAGACACCAAAAATTAAAAGGTTAAGAACATCTGATGACCCACGAAGAAAGAGTGCTCGTTTTGATGCCTTTTTAAAAAATTTAAACATGTTATATACTCTTTATGTCCACTTCTCAATTCCTACCAAAAAGGAGTTTAACCTGAATAATTATATCATCTGAAAACTGTACATAGATTTTTTTCTAAGTCACCATGCTGTATAATGAAAATGCTGACCTTTCAGATGTTGGATTAACATATGATTAGATAGCTCAAAGGCCAGAAGTGCTTTTTCTATATCTTACCAATGTGTTCAGCAGATCAGCATCAACAACAACAACAAAAATACCACAGTCTTCAAATTATACTTTGGCTTCTGTTGTTTTGAAAACTAGACTTCAGATATACTTTGTAGATTTCAGACATGGGTTTTCGACATTGTAGGATGTATAGCTACAGAGAGGAGATCATTTTTAGTTTTTTCTCCCCCTATAATCTTCCTTTGACAGAACAGTTACAATTTTTTAAAAAATCCATTCAAAAGGAGACTTGAGGAGTTTTCCATTCACTTTTTCATTTCTGGAAGTCTGACTTTCTTTTTTCTTTTTTTTTTTTATTGTGTTATGTTAGCCACCATAGAATACATCATTAGTTTGTGATGCAGTGTTCCAAGATTCATTGTTCATGCACCACACCCAGTGCTCCATGCAATCCTTGCCCTCCTTAATACCCACCACTGGGGTTACCCATTCCCCCCACTCCTCTCTAAAACCCTCAGTTTGTTCCTCAGAGTCCACAGGCTACTCCTTCTGAAGAACATCTGATTAATGGGTGACCAATACATCCCACCACCACCTCCCCACTGGAGTGCCCACCAACATAGGAACTGGTGCTTCTGGAATGCCTCATCTCTATGTCCCCAGTTATTTTTCCAGTGGAAGCTGCTTCTGCTAGAAGAACTCTTTTCTAGTCCCAAACTCACCGAGTCCCTGCTCCTGAGTCCACCATGTCTGCTATTCCGGCTCCCACCACATTCTTATGCACCAATCTCCCCTTCGCACCCATTTCCCCTTCGCGTAGCAACAGAGCAAAGGGAAATACTGTGGAGGGGGATCTCACAGTTGCCCCAGCGGCCGAAAGCTGCACTCCTAAATGTCTTTCCCACCGCCCTCCAACCAATTAAAACTCCAAATAAGTATTCCCAACTAAATAAGCTCATGCTTTATTGTGCAATACTACTTTTGTAAGCTTCCGTGGAAATCACTCATTAGAAAGAATGGAAGTTCTCTGAGGGCAGAGAATTTTGCCTATGTGTCTCCATCTCCAGCATATACCCTAGGTCACCAGCTTTAAGTTGCCATCAGTTTTAAGACACATTTCGGATGAGCAAAAATGTGCAAAACAAATGTGCATCCTACAGTCGATGAAATATGGCAACAGAAGTAACTCTTCACATAGTAAGTACTTAATAAACACTTACTGACTTATATTTTTTGAAGTTTCTGTGGGAAAATCTTTTGAGGCCCAAGCAATTGGCTTACAGATATATCTGCAGGGGGCAAGGGACTAGAACTTGAGGATTGCCTGTCTTCCAAATGGCCAATTGTGAAAAGAACAGAAGTTCTCCAGACAGTGGTGTGTTCCTATCTGGGTATGTGTCTGTCTCTCTTCTCTCTCTCCTTACCTCATCAATTAGTTTTCTGGCATTTGCGATAGTGTAATCACCAGCAAATAATACCACTAAGCATGACTCATCGCTGCTTTTCTGCCTCTGACCCCGAGATATTGGAACGATACTTCTATTGGCTTCTGTGGAAACGCGGACAGCTTTGAGCTCTTCGGTAGTAGGCAGAGGAACATGGTCTTGAACTACAGCATCCTCGGGAAGAAGGCTCCAGTTGAGCTCTCCTGACACGGGTGTAAAGTCATGAATGTTGCTCCAGGTATTATTGAAGATACTCAGCCCCGCGTCCTTGAACTGGAACGCTAACTCGGGGTAGTACCATTGGAAGCAGCCAAACTTGATGTTTGTGGAAGACTCAATGATGGGTTGAGTGGCACAGCACAGAAAGACTTCCAGCTTTCTACAATCCCGCACACGAAACTGTTGGCAGGCGAGCGTACACTTGCAATCTCTGCAATTCCGAAAAAACACACTGCCTTTCACAGGTCCCAGAAAAATCACACAGTTAGTACAGTCATCGATAGTAATCGTAGCAGAGTGATCAAAGATATAGATGTTACAGTTCTCACAGTCTTGAATGAGAAACTGTTGTCCCACCACTTGGCCAGGTAGGCGACCTACTGTTTCATCCTTCAGGCCACTGAACATGTAGTCTTTTGGATCAACCTGCAGGGACAAAACACAGGCATTGAGTATTACTAACAGTATTCAACAACTATTAGTCAAGTGTCTACAGGGTACCAGGCACAATTCTTGGTGCTAAAATAATAAGTTCCTACTCTCACCGACTTTGCAACATAGTAAGAAAATGAAAAGCACAAATTATTTCTTCCAGTAGTTAAGAAGAATGGGGGCAGGGAAAGGGAGAGGAAACTGTGATAAAGAAAGGCTCAAGGACATATCAACCAAACAATGTGTGGACATTGTGTGGATCCTGTTTCAACACACCAACTATAAAAACACTTTTTTGAAACAGTTGGGGAAATTCTCAGCACACAGCATTTTGGATGATATTAAGGAATATTTCAGCTCGGACCCTTTTTCTGATGTTTCACTTTTTAAATTTTTTTTAATTCAAGTATAATTACAGTTTTATATTAGTTTCAGGTGTACAATGTAGTGATTCAGTAATTCCATACATCACCTGGTGCTCAATCACAAGTGCCCTTCTTAATCCCCATCACCTATTTCACCCATCCCCCTACCTACCTCCGTTTGTTCTCTGTATTTAAGAGTCCGGTCTTCTGACTGCCTTTTTCCTTTGTTCATTTGTGTTGTTTCTTAAATTCTACGAGTGAAAATTTTAAAACTTCTGAAATTGGAAATACACCCAGATAGAAATATATTTCTTTATCCTTCAATAAACAGATGTGTGGGTCCTGGTTTCTAAAGCCCAACTGATTTCTGCAATATGCTACAGAAAATGGAAGAACCTGAAGGCACAAGACTTAGTATATGGCATAACTCCCATCTGCAAGTTTGATTCAAATATTTATTAAGCTTTTCCTACAAGGCAATTCTTCAAATGCCACCACTCCCAACTTTAGATATTCTAAACTAAAGCACACATAACCTTTTAAACAGTATGCCTGTAATTTGTCACATTATATGTTTTAAAATTCTAACTGACCTCTAAGAGTCACAGAAAGGCCATTTTAATTTTTCCAAATTACATTGGAGTCTACTTGCACTGTTCTACCGCTTTGCAAATATTGTATTTCATATAAAACTATTCGTGTGCCAGAAACAGACTCCTATATAGTAGGTAAATTTTTGATTACTCACAAAGGATAATTTACTCATCCCAACTATCACTAACTTAAAGTGGCTTATTCAGTATTGCACAATAAATGTTGTACTTATCCAGTTTTAGATAATGTACTAGAAGGCATACTAGTCTGTAGCATGAGGCAATAAAAGAGGCACTTTGTTTCCCAGTCTTAATTCTGTCACCTATGAGCAACATGATTTTGGAAAGGCACTTTAACTTCCCAGATCTTCAGTCATTCCACCAACATCTGAACACCCAATATGAGCCAGATAATCTCTCAGGCACTAATGTGAGTACGACCAGCTTTTCCCATAAAAAAGTAAACACTAACCTAAACAGATGATTTCAAAACAACTCGGCTGTGTAATGCAAGATGCCTAGAATATTCTGGAAACACAGAGGAAGGAAACCTGGGGTGGAGGAGGTAGGGTGTAAGAATTTACTAACAAAGTGAGAATGAACCAGCTGGAGTTCACCACATAAAACAGGTAAGAGTAAAGGATCCTCTCTTTCCACACCAGGCAAAAGTGAAAGAATTAACAAAATAAAACTCTTCAGAGAACATGAGGAAAACCAAACATGGTTTGGTGTTTACCAGTGATACTAGAATGGGAGCAGATGAAGCTAGAGAGATAGGCAGGGGCCATATTACAAAGCCTGGAAGTTATCCGTGGGCAATAGGGTACCACAGGAGGGTTTTAAATAAGAGAAATTTACATTTCAGGAAGTTTACTCTGTAAGAATAAGGAGGTGGGGCATGGATCTGAGACTCTTGCTGCCGGCAGTGGCTAGAAGAGGAAGATGGGATAAATTTGAGAAATACTGAGGAAGTAGAATCCATCAATTCGGTAATTCAACAGCTGTTGGAGGTAAGGCAGAAGGGTGGGTCCAAAATGATTCCTAGTTCTCTCGTCAGTGTTTTCCAACTGTTTTGGACTATAACGTGCATTAGCAGATTCTTCAACACAGCCCAGTACACCTGGTGAGTATTTGCACATGGACATACACCAAAGAAATAAAAGCTTCACAAATAATATTTACCCTGATTTTGTGTTAAGCCCCCCAGCACACACAAAATTTTCTATTATCCCCTGAAGGGTTTGAAAAAACACTACTCTGATTTATATGATTGGATGTTAGTGTGCCATACCTCAGAAAAAGTGAAAAATACAGGGGGCAACACAGGTTTAATGTGGAAAGAAGTATTCAAGCAATTGTTTCTAGGATTTTACAGGTGATGCATGTATATAAAGGTACTGGGGTGCCTGGGTGGCTCAGTCAGTTGGGCGACCCTTGGTTTCAGCTCAGGTCGTGATCTCATGGATTGTGAGATTGTGCACCGTGTCAGGCTCCGTGCTGAGTGTGGAGTCTGCTTGAAGATTTTCTCCCTCTGACCGTCCCCTCAAATAAATGAACATACCTTAAAAAAAAAAAGTACAGTATTCCAGTTTGGTCTCTAAAAAGAAACCCAATCAGCATAGTTGCTGGTTCCCTATTGCCTAAGATCAACCCCAAAGGGACCGTGTAAGGAAACACCAAGAAAAGGGGAAACTATGAGAAGTCCCTGTGGGGGCGTGTGGGAGGATAAAACAGAAAAGGAACCTCTGGGATTTCTGCTCTTGCTTCTCCCCCACCCTAAATCTTGAGACAACTGTGCTTCTCCCACACCTGCTGGGACTCAGATCTCTGGTCCAGACTTCGAGTAAATTTAGGGCAGGACAGAAACACTGTGCTGGTGAAGAGGTGGGAAAAAACAGGGGGGACTAACTCTGACAGTTGCTCTGGACCTCTCCAAACCCTTGTTAACTGGCAGATTAAAATCTAAGACGTATCTTCTAATGCTGCTTCTCCCAACTACTAATTGGTCAAGTAGACCAAAAAAATTAACAAAATACAGAAGCACTGAACCACATAATGAGAACAAGCTTAAGTTCTGCATCCAGGAAGTAGAGTGCACTCACAGTTTTCTTAAGGACACACTAAAGCTTTTTAAAAAATCATATAGTAGATCATAAGGCCAAAACAAATTTTAAATAATAGGTAACATACAGACCATGATATGAGACTAACATGTAATTAGGTTAAAAGTTAATAACAAAGGACACTTTTAAAAATTCTTGCCTACTTGAACATTTTAAAAACACACTGCTAAATAACTCATGGGTTAAAGAAGAAATCATAATCAAATCTAAAAATACTTAGAATTAAATGTTAAGGCACCACATTTGGGATGCAGCAAAGACAGTGCTTTGAAGGAAATCTCTAACCTTAAATAGCTATAGTAAAAACACTCAAAATCAGTTAAATGTCCATCTTAAGAAATTAGACAATAAACAATAAACCTGCAGAAAGTAGGAGAAAAAAGATAAATAGTAGAAATGAGTAACTTAAGTATTAAATATATAAAACAAAACATCAGCAAAGCCAAAAATATGCTTTGGGGGGGCAAAAAATAGGCAAACTTCTGGCAAGAATGACCAGGGAAAGAAGAACGAAACACGAACAATATGAATGAAAAGGGGGATATTACCATAAATAGAGGTTAAAGGAGAACAGTATCAACAACCACATACCAACAAGTTTTAAGAGATTTTGTCTATGAAATGAACAAATCTCTTTTAAAAATAACTTACCACAACTCACTCCAGAGGAAGTTAAATGCTTAAATAAAATGCTATTACTACTAAAGAAATACAACCAGTGGGCTAAGTGTTCCCACAAAGAAAACACCAGGCCCAGATGGTTTTATAAGCAGATTCCAATTTTATTTATCCCAGGTTCATGCAAACCCATAAAGACAATAGAAAAAGAAGGAACAGTCCTAATTCATGCTATTAGCCTGTCTGGCTAGACCCTAGTAAGAAAAACAAAGACATAAAAGAAGATTTTAGGTTCATTTCACCCACATCTATAGATGGGGGAAAGAAAAAAAAAACCTGCAAATTAAATCAATCCTATAAAAAGACAAAGCACCACAACCAAGCTGAGCGCAAATGGTTCAGTATTAGAAAATCTTTCAATGTAAGTCACTATTATGTGATAACAGCTTACATTTTACTCCTAAGTCCTATTGATCTCCTATGGGAATTTATTCTTCAGTAGACTGGAAGCACTTGCTGTGACCCATGTCCTCTGACTCCCCTTTGCCCAGATGGCCTTCCTTCTCCTAGTTCTTGTCCACCTGTCAAACTTCTGTGAAGCTTTCCAGTTTCCTCAACCGGAAGCCTGCTCTCCCTTTTCGGAGTACCTATATTACATTAAATACCAGTGTCCGTCCCTTCTTGTAACCAATCTATTTAAAACTGAAACACCTCCTTCAATACTACCTCTTTACCCTTCTTTATTTTTCTCCAAAGCACTTAGCTTCCTTTTAATGCACTATGAATGCATTATATTTATCGTCTTTATTCTACCAATCCTCCACTATGGACGTAAGCTCCATGAGGGAAAGGATTATCTGTTTTGCCCACCCGTTTCCCCCTGAACCCAGAACAATGCCTGGCAGCCAGAGGCACTCCACACACCAATAGTGAATCCATTTTAATTACTTAATCTTTGTTACCTCAGCGTGTGTAATCTGAGGTAGGTGGTCCCCACATGTCTCCTTAATAAACAAACGTGAAGAGTTAACTAAGTTTGGTCATCACACACTTCTCCACTGCCCATTCTCCAGAAGAGAGACCCTGATAATGATCAAGAACAACATGATATTCTCAGGGACATTCAGTCAGGTCACTGTTCGAGTTGGCCAACTTCTGAGTAGGAAGATAATTACACAGAAGGAGGCGGAGGCACTCTTAATATCAGGGCTGGGGTTCTCCTTTTTACATTCTCTTCTCTCCCATACCTGTGGTAAAAGCAAGCTGCGGCTGCCTTCCACTTGGAAGGGCCAGTG